TATTTTCTTTCTGCCTGTTAATCCAGTGTTACATGCTTTTTAAGAAATCCAATATGGCTGCTGTTTATCTAGGCTTTCATACAACCATTATGTGCAGTCAATTGACAGCATTGCATCGAGCACCAGTCTTCAGTATAAAACCCTTTACCATACAAGAATGTAGAAATTAAATAGAATTCAATGTTAAAGGTTTTCTGCCTACACTGCCTTAAACTTTACCAATAGACCAACACAAAAAACTAAAGATAGGGCAATGCAGCACTTTATCAATAAATTATGATATTTGTCCACTGAATTTGTATAACAGTTACACGTACTAAATATAAATAATACATTTAAAAGACCAAAATAAATAAAAGATAAACCATGGATATTTTTTTCAAATTGATTTACCATCAGCAGAAAATTTATTGATAGCCTCCTCCAACGTGCAGAAGTTTCCTGTTGATTTTGACATCTGAAATGTTTAACAATGAAATGTTTAGCACAACATACAGTTGAAATAAAATACATTTTCAGTCAGGCAGTGATAGTGTCAGCTGGACAAGTATCACATGCTGTCAAATATGCTAGTTCATCGAGAGACTGTCCTCGATGTACATCAAAGCCCTCAGTCCACAAATGCTTAGGTCAACTCTTCAGTAAACCCAACAGCTTGTAGCAGCTGACGACCCTATTTTCATTTTGCTTTATTATTCTTCTGTGGCTTTCTGCACAGTGCTCTTGTCTTAGCCACACCACTTTTAATTGGCTATTCTTGGAGTCAGTTATGGCCGCAGATCTAGTCATTACCAGGCTTGTATATGTGCCAGTCGTGAATCAAAGGGCCAACAAAGCGGGAAGTCAACTGCTAAGTAGTCTACAAGACATTCATAATCAAAGTAAGCTGCACGGCTCTGTGGTGAGCTGCAGTGCTCTGTGGTGAGCTGCAGTGCTCTGTGGTGAGCTGCAGTGATCTGTGGCGAGCTGCAGAGCTCTGTGGTGACCACCGATGAAGGTTTTAACTAGCAGGTGCTGTTTTTCATTTACTTGCCATGAACACTGGCGGAAGGTTCTAGTTGTTGAGTCCATGTCTGATTCCAGGTTCAGTCTCCCTCTTGAATCCCAAACGTCACATAATGAGAATTTTTTCCTTTTTTACATTTGGTTAGAACATACTAAAAAAAACATGGCTTCCTTGGTAGCATCTCCTCCTGTGAACTTAGCCTTCATTTTTAATAGTGGCTATTTACCGTGAATATCCTGGAATATCCATAAATGTACCCCACCCCCCTGTAAGCAACCTTCTTCCTGCCGTGCAGGCATGTGGCTCAGTGGTAGACATTCTATAACTATGACACACCAAACGAAAACACTTACAGAACATACACATCAATAATGTTAGCACAATCAACAGCTGGCAGTTAAGCCCAGAAACAATGGACCCCCACTATCCTAAACGAGGCCACTCACTCCCGGGCCTTTCCGTTGTACAGATAATACCTGGGCTGAACCAACACTAGTTTCCAATTCAAGCTCTTTCCTCTGGACTCCACACCAGGACTGTGGCGAGTCTGCACAGTGCGGGCCGATGTGTGTGGACAGATCAAGTCACCAATAACTACACTAACAGAATAACTTCAATACCCAGCAAGCTTCCCAGATACATTACTGCCCAAAAGCCTATCTCTGTCGAACCCTTTACAACACTGTACTAATACTACTGTCCAGCTAAAAACATTATTATACAGACTATCAGTCGCTACGCTTAAATTGAAACACACTATAAGTCTTATGGACATAGTTTAACACAAGTCGAACAATCGCAATGTCCCAGTACAGAACTCCCCATTCAAGTCAAAACCCATCAGTCTTGTAGTCTGTTGCAGTTCAGTCGTCCAGTCCAAGAACTCGTGATTTCATTAGCAATGAACTCATACAGTCACGACTTTTTGCTAGTCTCGGTTCGTTACAGCTGTGTTACACGTCAAGTCTCGGTCACTAAGGATGGATAGGGACATTCAATATCATCATACCCACAATAGACTCTGACCTTTTTCAACCCCCCCCCCCCCCCCCCCCGACCCCCGACCCCCCGTAGCAGGTTTTTTTCTTTCCCCGATAAATAAACTCTCCACGCTGTAATGATACCCCAGTACTCAAGGGTCATAAAATTGTAAAACACGTCCACTAACCTCTACACCACAGAACTGCACTGAAGAAACAGAGACCTGATTGGACCTGAAGAGACGACACAGAGCCGATTCTCACACATTTAAAACAGGACAGCCACATTTATTTGTAATCAACAAAGTTAAATAAAAGAAACACATTACCTTCTCTGAGTTGATCAGCAGATGTCCGTTAGCACGCACTCCTCTCGGCCATTTACTGCTGCAAACACAATCACATATGTTACAGCATTAAACGGACTTGTGAGATCAACAAATATTAATTCAAGAACTAATCTGTTATTAAAATAACAAACATTATATAATTCTTCAGCAATCTCAGGTTTCCACGAAGCTTAGGTGTCAGGTCTACTGGGGTTGGCCACATGCTTCTTTGCAAGCTTCTCCAGGAGAGGAGAGTCTTGCAAGACATGTTCTGGGGTCAGTTCAGCATGGAGATACTGCTAGACAGCTGTCTGGCTCATGCCTAATTTATATGAGTGTTTGCTGAGCCTGCACAAAAAAAATCTTGGCTTTTAACAGTAAGAAACAAATTCTAGTGTGCTGTTTGCCTGGCCTGTATTCTCCTCTGGAACACAGACACTCAGGGAGCTGCAGTAACGATGTGGTTAGACGCACGACTGCTGGCATAAAGATCTAAGGCTAAATCCCCATCCGTATTTACCATTTTTTGCTGTGTAGGCGAATGGGAGAGGGGAGGTCTTTGAGCCCGAGGATTTAGGGCTGCATGGCTAGTCTTGTCGCCATGAAGTCTGAAGGTTAGGATTTCATTTGTGCCTCCCAAGAGAAAATCCACAACCTTACCAATGGTTTGAACCTGGGTCTCCCAAATGACAGTCGGGTGTTCTTAACTGTTTAACAGCACCTCCTCAAAGAATAGTAACACCTACCAAAAAGAGCTGTAAGAGATGACACAAAAAGAAGGTCTGCTTAAGACTGGCTACCTTAGACCATAGTGTGGCTACAAAACCCAACTAATCATGAAGAAAGCATTTGATGCAAGTTAACGTGAGTCACACCATGGAAGAGACCGGGGCTTCAACAAGTGGTTAGTGAGGATCCTCATCGCATCACTCTGGACATATCCATAGGTGCTCCAAACTCCTCCTCAAAAAGTCCCACAAGTGTAAAATGCCGAAGCATGTTCTGTAATGATTAATCAAACACCTGGTAACTTTGGTGCAATGTTAATTCCTCACAGCTCCATATGGGGCCCCCACGATCATCAGCCTGCACAGGGAATGGAGTCATGCCTCGCAGTTCCAAGTGACGCCCCCATGTCCATCATCCTAGACAGGGAATGGAGTCATGCCCTTTGCTGTATTTGTCTTTGCAGTAAGTGCTGCACATGGTGTGGATAACAGCAGTTATCCACACAGACATGGTCCAGTACCAGACCAGCCACAGCAACCGCAGTATCTGCAAAATAATCTGCACGCTCAATAATCCAGTGTAAAGATAAAGATTAGGTCGGCCATCTGTGAAGTGCTTAATGATACAATTCATTGTTGTCTGATGAACCTAGCCTGGATTTTTTTGAAGCATTTTCTTTGAGTCATTAAGTATGTGAACTCTTGAGTACCCAGCCATGCTAATGCCCTTGTGACAACCAGTTTCTATTGTCAGCTGTCACAGCGAAGGCACCATTTACGTCCTTGATGGTTTTCCTCCTTGAACCCATGCCCTTTGCTTGCCCTGTTACTGATTTACCTGTGGAAACTACAGAATCACCTTTATCTCATTTTTATTAACAATACAAGAATACAACTGTGGAGTTAATGGCAATGATGACAATGACAAATTCACATTAACAAGAAAAGCCAGTATGGCCATAAAGTAGCCTACCTGTCATCTGGCCACATGGCAGTGTGGCAATATATGAAATAGGTCAGGTGGTTAGGGATCAGATCCTTGCCTGACATGCGAACATCCACAGGGTACCAGTACTCAAACTCGTGCCGCAGTTTGTCCAATATGGCCTTGGGGATACCGCAACTGCCAGGATATGGCTTCAACTTGTAGAAGATGTAATCCCAGACTTCTGGCGTCAGTTGCTCTGGTCTGAACAAAATGTAAAAAAAAACTGATTTAAAAGTAAGAAACAGAACCAACCTTCAGCATATTTCTGAGCCAAACAGCTCTCTGCCAGTGTCATCGCGCTGAACAGACCTCTGAACACGTCTTACAAAACCGCCCTCTCCTGAAGGAGCTGCAGAACATCTAACCACACCCAGTAGACCTGACAACTAAGCTTGGGGGGGGGGGGGCCGAGGGGGGGGGGGAGAACCTTAGAGACCTCTAACTGACATCTCAGTTTAGGGCCCACATGATCAGACATCACTGAAGAAGAAGAAGCCTACACATAGATTTACTGGCTTATGGAACTGTGGTAGGACCATGGTTAGTGCACATTTGACCAAGACAGATATCCCACATGCAATCCCTGTTATCAGCACTGACTTGATCATTTCTTTCTGACATGTTCTGTCAACCCAACCCAACATGTCATTTTCAGATTTTGCTGAGAACTTCCTGGGTGATGGAAAAGCTGGCAGTGGTGTCATCAGCCGCTACTAAACAAGATATACAACTCCACTACAAAAGGACAAATACAGGGAACCAACCCCACTGGGATACAACCTGGTATCAGTGAGACGACAAAAGAAGAAGAAGGAAAGGGGGCACAGAAGGGAGCTAATCTGCTCACCTCAGCAGGCTGTGGTCTAGAACATGTGCATGGCTAACAGCTCACACCCCTCATCACCATCAAGTGCCTTGCCAACTGGTGTGGGCGTTCATGCCTCTCCACAATCTGCCATCCACATCTGCGTGTATAAGGTCATGTGTTGACACCCCTCCATGCCATGACAAAAGGTTGACAAGAATCTGTTTTGAAGGCATGATTTACTAGGGATAATATAGCGGTGCCTTCTGCCAATTTGTTTATGGTTTAACTTCAACAGCCTTTGTCTAAAGAGACATATCATGCAAGGCAGCAGAGATGAGAGGTTATAACCCCGCCTCTTACCCACCGATGGCCATGTCAGGGAGTTGTGAGGTACTCCTATCTGTTGGTATTCATGACAGATGGTTAAAGTGGAAAGATCAGTTTCATTTTCATGCCAGGGCTGGCAGGTGCACAAGGAAATGAGCAAGCTGACAGTAGTGCAGTTAAGGCTACTGTGAAGAGCGGATGGCAGTGAACTAGACTGATGTACTGAATGCTCTGTGAGAAGTAAGATGTTTACAAGAACCAAGTGACTGAAACTGAAACAAACCATGATGAGACTGCAAGAAATAACAAGTTAAAAGAGGCGTGGCCGGACAAAAGCACTATGCAGGAAGTCAAAGAAGAATAAGAAACCATCACAGGACTAGTGTGTTCGGCCACTATAGGCTGTGAGATGTACTGAGGAGATGAGGGCTGAATGATCAATGTGCAATGATGATAATCTGTCAACGAGCTATGGTTAAAGCAGTGAGTCATTCGGTACTCTAGACGATAGACAAATGGAACATTTACGACGGCCAGCATGTACTCTGCAACATGATTTGGTTTAATTTGATTCATCATAGATCAATTCAATGCACGTATGTACTTCAGCTTCCTTCATACACATAATGCTCTTTTAAAAACCATACTTAAGGGTGAGGTTGAGGGAAACAGCAAGAAGTAGACATAATACAAGTGGGAGGTCAACATCAAGAGATAGGCAAACCGCATTGTGAGAAAATGTACAACTAAGACAAGAGACATAAAGTACTGGAGATCCAGTACAGCCAGCCTTCCTTCCTTGTGGAGATAGCACCTAACTGATGATAGATCACACAAGTCAACCTGAATTAAAAAAAAAAAAAATAGACAGACGAAGCTATCAGTCAACGAAATCAGATAAGAAGAAGCAAACAATAAGAATCTCCCACACGATAAACCACCTTAGCTGCTAGTTCCCAACCTGATATTTGCAGATCCTGCCAGGCTCCCGTCCCATCTGCCCTGCAGAAGATGGTTGACCGTGTAGTAGGCCATGTAGATTGTGGAGTCAGACAAGCTCTCGATCAGGTACTGGGGATCCCAAGGCATCTTTGTTCCTAGGCCATAGCTGCGAGAACAAGCATGCTCATGTAACCAGTCGAGGGTGGACAAGAAGTTATGTCTCACATCTTCCGAAAATGTGTTCATTGATGCCAGACACTTCTCTGCTTCCGCACGCCAGTTTGGCTCACCATAATCCAGAAACCTAGCAGACGGATTAACACAGACAAGTTAAAATAGGTGTTTTCACCAAGCAACGATAAAATTATAATCAAAACATGGCAGATTTTAACTTCTTCTTCTTCTTCATTACAAGCCCCTAGTGTTAATTGCTGCAGATGTCACCCGTCACCATTTATTTGTGACTGGACTTATCTTTCCAGCTGGCAACTCAGTCTATGTAGGTCTGCCTGTATATTACCTTCTTCTTAGTCGCTCCTCTTCTACCTTGGGGTGTAGAGGTTTGCCAGAGAGATCGCCAGACGTCTCTATCAGCAGTTTTCTTTCTGGCTTTGTTCCATTCCAGTCCTCTGTCAGGAACTGTCGGAGGTTGTCTTCCCAGCGCACCCTGGGTCTTCCTGGAGGTCTGGTTCCCTGGTTCTTAGCCTCCCATGCCTGCCATGGTGGCCGATTTTCTCCCATTCTGCATACATGTCCAAACCATCGTAACTGTGACTGATCCACTCGGGTTTGTAAATACTGGGTATCAAGATCTTGACGTATTGTCTGATTGCGGACTTTGTCCCTTCTTGTCACTTGGACCACCTTTCTCAGATATCTCATTTCCGAGGCCTGCAGCTGGCTTTTGTGAGCTGTTGTCATTGCCCATGACTCACACCCATAGGTCAGGACTGGTACATAGGTAGAGCGGTAAACAGCCATTTTCGTCCTCTTGCCAATTTCTCTTTTGCTAAGAAACCCTCGGTTTATGGCCTGGAAGAGTCTCCCAGCAGCTGCTTTTTGTGTAGCCAGCTCAGTCTTAATGCCTCCATTTCGGTCTAATACAACTCCAAGGTATTTGAACTGGTTAACCTGCTCCAATGCATACTGTCCCATCATGATCTGGTGTTTCTTCTCCTCTCTTGAGATCACCATAGTTTTAGTTTTGGAGATCCTGATGGTCATCCCTCTCTTTTCAAGCTCTTCCTTCCAGACAAGTTGGACTGAAGGTGTGCCTCTGATTTAGCTATCAGGGCCACATCGTCTGCAAATGCCAGCTCGGATATACAGATTGGCTGTACATTACCTCTCTACCAATTTCTTGGTCTGCCTTGTGAACTACCCCATCAAGACTAATTTTTTACAGAGATTTTATCTCTGTTATTTGGCATTCTCTTTATGTCCCCAAAAATCAGACTATTAGCCCTCATGATGCCAGTAAATAGTGGGGATTTAAATTGACTATTCCATGTAGGTTCCTGAGGCCAGATAGGGAAAGGGGAGGGGGGGGGGGGGGCTGAATAGCCCAACTGCTCCCCTTCCTCAATCCCCAAGCATGTCATAAAAATTAACCTGCTTCCAAGTGACGTTCTTGGCTCCCTGCGACCTGCTTCGATTAGACATTCTCATCTCCCTGAGACCTGCTTCGATTAGATGTTCTGGTCTACCTGAGACCTGCTTCCATCAGATATTCCTGTCTCTCTGAAACCTGCTTCCACGAGATGTTCTTATTACCCTTAGACCTGCCTCTATTTCCAAGAACAATGCCCTTTCTTACTTCTTATCTTAACCACTACAGTGTTTAAGATTCAGTTCACTATTTCAATTTTAGAAATGCTGTTTATGAGCCAATTTTCTTCAGTGTTCAAATCTTGAAGGATGCCAGTTTCTTTTGACTTTTTCCTGATCCATATATAATTCTAATAATATTTTTGTATTCATCATCATCATCATGTGCCCTGCCAACTGGCATTGGCACTCATGCGTCTCCGCAGATCACCATCCCTGGCTGCCTGCAACAGCACTCTAGATGATATCCCTCCATGCCATTGTTTTAGCCTATCCAGCATCAACTCTCTTGGTCTGCCTCTACCCCTTTTCCACTGATCTTTCCAGTTGTCACGATGTTCTCTAATGTCTCTTCTCATTATGTGGCCAAAGAACAGTGTTTGTCTCTTTCTTATTGTATATAGAGATCTACTTTCATTAGCTTCTTTCAAGCAATCGTTAGTTATTCTGGCTGTCTATATCTCTGCAGCTTCCAAATCCTTCCTAATTTGTTCACCAATATTCCAAGATTCGCTGCCATACAGCAGAACAGGTTCTATGTAACATTTTAGCACCCTCTTTCTGACATTAAATGAGAGCGATTTATTGCATAAGATATTTTTCATTTTCTGAAATGCAGCTTTCACTTGACCTATTTTTTTTTTAAATCTCCGACACACATTTTCCATTTGATGCCATGATTGTTCCCATTATTTGAATTTATTTTTATGTCATATTCAAGTTATTTAAATCTTTCTGTAGAAGTTAGCTGTGAGTCCTCTTCAAAATCTTGCAAAGCAGCTCCAACTGTGAAACTGTGCTCGCAACCTCACAGCCACTGTTTGATCTGACCAGAAAATAAAGCTCTGTGTGGACAGAACTACAAGATATATTTATAAATCTGCAAGTGAAACAAGACCATGAGACTTAGGGACACTGACCATTGGTCACAGAGGGCAACCACACACTCATCTCCAGACCGAGACATGACCAGCTTCTCCGGCTCTTTGTACACAACTGCATCGTTCTGGAAGCAGACAATGTGAAAAAAAGATCAAGGACTTCAAACGTTCATGGCTAATGAGATGGCAGGTGTAATAGGAAGGTATGTGTGGGAAGCTGGCAGGTGTGGGAATAACAGGTATGAGAGGTTGGCAGATGTGTAAAAGACAGGTGTGAGAGTTTGACAGGTGTGAGAGTAACAGATGTGACAGTAACAGATGTTAGACAAAGAGGTATGAGAGATTGGTAGCTGTGAGTGAATGACAGGTGTGAGAGGCTGGCAGGTGCTTGAATGACACGTGTGAGAGTTTGGCAGGTGTGAGAGTAACAGGTATATGAGAGATTGGCCGGTGTGAGAGAGAGAGAGGCACATTTAAAAGTAACAGGAGTAAAACGGAGACAGCTGTTAGAGACCGATACATGCAATTAGCGGACATTTGTGAGGCATTGGCAGGTGTGAGAGTAACAGGTATGAGAGGCTGGCAGGTGTGAGAGAGAGAGGCACATTTAAAAGTAACAGAGGAGTAAAACGAAGACAGCTGTTAGAGACTGATACATGCAATTAGCGGACATTTGTGAGGCAGTGGCAGGTGTGGCTGGGATGCAGGTGTCTGATGTGCAACAGGGAAGCAGGCTTGAGTGAGGCTGGTGTGGTATGAAGGCATTTGTGAGAGGGAGACAGGTGTGAAACGGAAGCATGTGTGAGTGGCAGGTGTGATATGTATGGCAGGGAGACAAGTGTGACTGGAGAAGGTGGCAGACATGATGACGAGGTAAGTGATACAAGGACATGGATATGACCAGAAGGTAAATGTAATTAGGTGTATTTATGAGTTTCTCATTTGTTCAACTCCGCTGTTTATTCAAGAAAAAAGGTGGGGGGGGGGGGTGCATAAAGTTTTAAAAAAAGGACAAGGAGAGATCTCCCTGCAGATTTTGAAGGTCATGGATTTGAGTCTCACCGGAACTGGACTTTTTTTTCTATCCTTTCCTACCAGAAGAAACAGAGGAAACAAACATACATGCCCCCCCCCCCCCCCCCCCCCAAGCACAAAAAACCCCCAAGAGAAAACAAGAAGAAGAAATGACAAGATAAATTCCAGGTGGAAAGGGAAGTAAATGACTGCCTCGTCCTGGCAAGTAACAGATTACTGGAGATATGTGCAAAGTTGCCAAACGAGTTGATTTTCTTTTTCTTAGCGCCACTGAAATGAAGGTCCCTGTTTAGGAGGGGTAAATGAGGCTACTCATATATTGATAAACCAATCAGCATACCAGATGATGTGGTCAACATCATGCCGGCCACCTTTACTTCCCAGATCTTCATCAGGTAAACATTTAAGGCTGGTGTGTCATGCAGGAAACAAATCCAACACCATGCAGATTTGAACCCAAGACGTTCAGATCTGCAGGCGAGCATGTAGCCACTAAACCACAGCAGCTCTGCAACCTTCTTAGTGTTCACTGGCTGTAAACTCTGGCAGAATGTCTGGCTGTTTGTCCACTTGTGGACTTTGGTCTTGTTGCAGAACTTGAGCTGATCTAACAAAACAGCCTGCTAACACACAAGCTGACTGCATCCACTAAAACTGTGACAAATCTTACGCTCTCAATCAACTGGTTCTGGATCACTTTCTTCACATCTTGAACCTTCTGGCCCTCAAATCCTTTCACAATCATCACCTGGAAGAGTGAGACAAAGTAAGGCAGGAAGATGAACAAATAAGACCTTAGGTCAACTGTTATGTATTGTTAGTTTGTATGGCTACAATAAGAGTCACAGATCTTCCTCTTCACCGTCTGTAAGCTAAAGCTGAAAGTCCTGGTTGGTCATCCATTTAGCTTTGTGTCAGGGCCCCAGTTTTGCCTGTACATCAGTTTTACTGGCTTTTTTGTGTGCAATTGGTTGCTCCTTGCCACTCCGACAGGTGCACTCCAACTTCGAAGAAAGCTCCTAATTAGCCAACGCCTGTGACATGCTTGTTGGAGAGGCAGTGGGTCTATTCTTGTTTCCCCCCACAATGGGGCCCCAGAACCCACACAGGGAGAGTTTAGAGATGAGAGTTATAACAAAAATGTGTCAGAAATTCTCTTATGGGACTTTGGAAAATGGGAATAGCCTTCATTTGTTTCCACACCTCAACATTAGTGATAAGAGCAGCAGCTGCTATTGCAGTATCAGTTACTACAGAACAACTTCTTTAATACAAACTCACTTAGGACAAACAATAAGTTTAGATGAACAAAAATTTGGTCCCAAAAGGGATTACACATATTAATTCTGGGTTAGCACACACTTTGTTTAACTAACTCTGATATTTTGGTCCCTTATAAATTTGTGTTAATGCGGTTTTACTGTAGTTACTTTAGCAAATATTTACAGTTCATAGATGTTGCAGCAACAGCTGCTGAGGCAATAGTAGTAGTAGTAGCATCTGCTACTGCAGTATCAGTAAGTAGTAACTGTAGAAACAATATCAGTAGTAGATGCTGCAATAACAGTAGTGGTGGAGGTGGTGGTGGGGATGGTAGCAGAAGTAGTAGAAGAGCAAGTAATTATAGTGTTAGTAGTAGCAATAAACAGCACTGCAAGTTTCTCAGTAAATTTTAAGGTTGTATTAGAAGCAGCAGTAGTTGTAGTGACTGCTGATCCGAGGAGAGGCAGCCACAGTAGAAAGTCTACAGGTAGCTGTCTTCATTCATTAATACATACAGAAAAAAACTGTAAACAGTATCCAAACTGGCAACTTACTCCCTCATAAAAGGCTTTCTTGTATGTGTCCTCCTTGGCCTCGGTCAACTTCTCCCGATCATTCTGGCTGACGACCTTGTATTTATCACAGGCTGCTATGGCACACAAGTTCCCGTATCCTGGCACTTCTATGATGGGGATCTACAGGAGAATCAAGACCACATCTTCAGAAATTGTGAACTTCCATGTGAGCAGTTTAAAGACTGGTAGGGGGAGCCACAATAGTGTGGTGGGTAGATGCTTAACTATGGGCCCAATGAATGTGAAATAAACAGGTAGATTCTTCTTCTTGTTCATCGTTTTACAGATCCGGATTATATACAGACGACCAGTTCCTTGCCTCTAAGGCAACAGGTGGATAGATTGGCTAGTTCTGTATCATTTGGTCAGGAACTGATAGATGACAAGCTAGACTTGTAAAGGCCCTTTGGGAACAAGTAAACAGTGCAGAGGTACAAACAGATCATCAGGGTCTGAAAAAACTGGGCCAGTGAGGAGTGACAAGGGGATCTGATGAATGCTCTAAACTCAGGAAAAGGGCAAGGCGGACATTAGATCAGACTGGCAGTGGTACTATTTGAACCAGAACTCTGAGCCTGATGCTGAAGATGGAGACTGAACATTAAGGGGAATGTTGTGAGTGCTATGATGCTGGTTCTTAACCCATAGCTGCCGACCCAAAAGTAAATAAAGGACCCTTTTCCACGCCTGTAGGCATACTGGGCGTATAGGGCTAGACCTATATTTTAGTGACCAATCATTACTTGGTGGGGGATGTGGTCAGCATCACGCCGGCCCCTTTACTTCCCAGGACTGCATCTAGTATCTACTCAAGGCTGGGTCGGCCTGGGAGCCAAGGTCATTTATGAAAAAAAAGTCCGGCTCCACCAGGACCCAAACTCACAAGCTTCTGATCTGCAGGCAAGCGTCTAGCCGCTACACCATGGCCACTCCCAACCCAAAGGTAGAGGATTGAAAACTGCACCTGTAGATCTGGTTACCACTGACCTTAGCTCCCATGGTAAACCAGCCTAAAATGGGTACCAGGTAATGAGAAGTCCTGAGAGGTAAAGGCGGCCAAGCGCGTCCTGTCTATACAAAGACTGACAAATTACATGTTTTCTGAGATCGGATGTGTTAGGCCAAAAGGTGCAGATATCATAGCCTAGCTGTAAACCACAACAGGCTGAGAACACTCTGACATAAGCTGCTAGCTTGTTGGAGAATGCAGGGATGTATTTGTAGGGAACCAGGTGAAAATTAACCATTTTTAGGTGGATCAGATAAAACTGTCCCTTAGAAGGAAGGAGGAGGAGGCATAATTGAAACCAAAAACAAAAACAAACAAAAAACAAAAAATGTGGAAAATTTCAACTTACTGGGTCAAATGGTAGCACCATTTCATCCTTGATTCCATATTTTTCTCTCAGTTGCTGTGAAAATAAATAAAAACAACAGTAAATTCGTCTGCCACAGTGTTTGTTGTTGAGATTGTTATTGTTCTCATTGAAAATTTCTGATATACACACACATGCACAGGAGCCTCCTTGGAGTAGTGGCTAGAAGGTATCCTTGGGCCCAGAGTTTGTAGGTTTAAATCTGCATCAAGCCCAATTTGTTCAAAAGTGACCTAGGTTCCCAGGTTGATCCAACCTAAAATGGGTATCAGGTAACACTGAGTGCTAATGGGTTTATAAAACACAGTTCTCGTGCTATATGCCCATATGCAGTACGGCCTGGAAAGGGGTCCTTTACTTGTTTACACACACATACATATGTCCATGGAGAGATAAAATATGTGTTATTAATGGAAAACAGCTAACAAACAGGAGGTCACATGTTAAAGGAGTTCTCATCAACAAAATCTCAAAGAGTAGGTCATATGGCCGTGATAACAGCTGTCTCTGTTTTAGCATCATCACCATCAATCACAGTTTCTTTACAGAATGTTGCTTTCGTAACGGCACACCTGACAGTCTCTCTCTGTCTCTAGCCAATTCTCCAGCCCTGTGTGCTTTCATAGCCAATGCATCTTCCATGTCTTGTATCCCCGTTCACAGCTAACAAACAGGAGGTCACATGTTAAAGGAGTTCTCGTCAACAAAATCTCAAAGAGTAGGTCATATGGCCGTGATAACAGCTGTCTCTGTTTTAGCATCATCACCATCAATCACAGTTTCTTTACAGAATGTTGCTTTCGTAACGGCACACCTGACAGTCTCTCTCTGTCTCTAGCCAATTCTCCAGCCCTGTGTGCTTTCATAGCCAATGCATCTTCCATGTCTTGTATCCCCGTTCACAAAGGTCTGAGAAACCCTCCATCACTGTTTTCTTTCCAAGTCACTGTGATATTTATATCTTTTTTATAATTGCAAAATAAATAAATAATAAATAATAGCTTCTTCCAGGCAATCATTGCCATTGACTGGTTACCCAATGTATATCATACCACCACAAAACCCAAACTTGTGCCGGGGGTCAACTCCTCGTAAATATAATCTTCTGACTTGTCTATAGTGAGATGTTTACGAGGTTGTGTTCATGCATGCACAAATGGTTAGGAGGTTGGAATGTAAACATTATAACTAAACATAGCATTTAGGTGTTTTTCGTTCAAATCAAATGGTTTTTTAAAGCCAAATTGATATCAATATTTCCTGTAAGCCTCACTGAAAGAGGTCATGGCACAAGTCACCCAATACATATTTGTTTTAGGCCTTGAGGAATGTTTTCCACTGAATGCTTTCCTCTGTTCTTATTTAGTGATTACTCCTTTTACATATCTGTATGTATTTTAGGGGAAAACTGTTAAAATGTGGACAAACACTTAAAAGACACAATGATAGTGACATGTGTTTAAAAAAAAAATTGTTCAAGAATTCACACAGGGTCGTGACCCATTTTATTTTAACATTACCGGGGCAAAAGACTAATTACCCCCCCCCCCCCCCCCCAAAAAAAAACAGCAGCGGCAAGCAAACACTTACTGGCTTATTTTTCAGATCCCGCAGAGCAGCATAATCATCAGGTGCATCAGATGGTACGCTGGTCACCACACCCGTCCCTGAAGTCAGGAGCAAAGCAAACAATCAAACATTGACAATGAAAATTTAAACTTCATCTACTAAGTGAAATCAATCAAGTATAACATCTTCTTCTTCTTCTTAATGTTCACCAGCTGTAAATTCTGGTTGTGCAGCCACTTCTGGACCTTTTTTTCTTGTTCCAGAACCTGAGTTTTGTATGCACATCCGTTTCACAGATCTGGTTTATTTATAGGCAAACTGTTGGTGCCTTACCTCACAGACAGATGCACTTTGACTTCAAAGAAAACAGCCCTAATTAGTCTCCTTGTACGACATGCTTGTCAGGGGCAGTGGGTCCATTCTTAGCAATATACTGGAGTCAAAGGGACCTTTTACAGACAAAACTCAGATTACACAAGAGCGGCATTTGAAGATACAAAACTGAGTGTTAGAAAATGACAGTGAGAATTCAACATAAACTAGAGACTTTTCACAAAGGTCTAAGAGAATTCTGGGAATATTTTAGCTTGGCCAAACAGTCACATATAAAAAAAACTGAAGAGGAAAATAATTTGTTCATAAATGGCGAACATTTTCAAATGAAGAAGATGGAGATGGTTTGGACATGTTTGCAGAATGCCTCGTGACACTTTGAGTCAGCTCTCTGATGGATAGATGAGTTGAAGTTAAAAGTTAAGGACTTCATTGCACCGGGTTTTATCCCATATGACCTGGTCTCTCTCCACAGAACAGCCAGCCGTCTGCCGGGAGCATCGCACAGTGCACATCCCAGCTCCGACGACGATCTCCAGGGATCTCCGTAAAAATTGCTCTTTTGAACTAAAACTGCCATGAAATGAGCCCATGACCTTTAGAGCCCAAGGCAAATGGCTTACCACTTCACCACGGAGACCCTAAATGACAGTTGAAAAAAAGGAGATGTGGAAACCTGAAGAAAGAAAGCAGAAAGGAATATGAAGGAATGTAAAATGACATGGGATATCGTAGGCAGCAAAGAAGCAGATTGGCAGCAATGGAAATCACTTGCAAATGTCTTATGTATCAAAAGCAACACAAAGAGTACAAAGATAGAGATAGATAGATTTTATCAGCTTGGGTCATCAACACAGTAGACAACTTTACACTGATTTCGACAACTGTCTAGAAGCAATGGCAAACTATATTAAACTGCTTAGTAAATACCACAAATGGCTAATGAATAATGGGGTTTATTTGCAAGGTCCTGTAAAGAATACACAACTTACTTCAGCAAATAATTATTTACCATATGTTTCTGTATACAAGACACCCCCATGTGCAAGACGACCCTTATGTTTGAAGCCCACAATTGAGAAAGAAATATTGTAAACATATTCTGTGTATAAGACAACTCCCAGTGTTCAACTTTAACACACACATACAAACTTGGAAAATATTTCATCTTACGCAGAGAAAAAATGTGGTATTCTTACTACAGGGGCAAAGTTCAACAAAAGGAAAACTATACTGGAGCAAATACAGGGTCAACTTATGTCTAACAGGCTGAAAGTTGAATTCATATTTTTCAACACTGCTTTCAATCAAACGTTATAAAACTTGTATATAAAACATAACAAAATGTAATTAAATCTATTTAAGTATAAGTATTGTAAATAATGTGCAAAATACTCTACTGAATCAATTTCTGGAATTGTTTAATCCTACCAATGTAGTTACCTTTCTTTAGTTACTACTTTTATTTATAGAATGATGTGTGTGGTCGTTAACTCTTTCAATACCAAGAAACGCATCATAGGTTCCAACCGACAAGCCCAGTGAACATAAGATGTGCCGATTCTAAATCTCTCTTGACTACCCCTTGGGCTTCTGATGCTGAATTCCCTGGTACTGAAGGAGTTAAGTGCGGATGCTCGTAAGTCGCCAAGGATGCCAGTCGAGGAGAAGATGTACGAAGAGACAGAGGCAGCAAATGCTCACCCACCTTTATCTTCTTTGATGGTCAACATGGGCAAAGTAAAGATGGTCTTGTATGACGTCAAAGGAGCTTCCAGGGGAATCCCCATGATATCCTGCCAAAGAATTTTTCATTAACAGTAAGTTTTAAAAGTTAAAGTCGAGTGCATCGACTTCATTTTACTGGATTTTATTACACACGGCACGGTTCCTTTCCTCAGAATGGCAAACTGCCTACTGAGAGCATGGCAAATTGCACAGACACCACAGCCCCAGCGACATTCCTCACGGTTCTCAGTAAAGATCACATTCGTGAACTGAACAATGCAGCCGTAAAATGAACTTACTTACTTACTTAGTCGCTCCTCTTCTACCTTGAGGTGTAGAGGTTTACCAGAGAGATCGCCAGACGTCTCTATCAGCAGTTTTCTTTCTGGCTTTGTTCCATTCCAGTCCTCTGTCAGTTAGGGACTGTCGGATGTTGTCTTCCCAGCGCACCCTGGGTCATCCTGGAGGTCTGGTTCCCTGGTTCTTTGCCTCCCATGCCTGCCATGGTGGCCGATTTTCTCCCATTCTGCATACATGTCCAAACCATCGTAACTGTGACTGATCCACTCTGGTTTGTAAGGACTGGGTATCAAGATCTTGACGTATTGTCTGATTGCGGACTTTGTCCCTTCTTGTCACTTGGACCACCTTTCTCAGGTATCTCATTTCCGAGGCCTGCAGCTGGCTTCTGTGAGCTGTTGTCATTGCCCATGACTCACACCCATAGGTCAGGACTGGTACATAGGTAGAGCGGTAAACAGCCATTTTCGTCCTCTTGCCAATTTCTCTTTTGCTAAGAAACCCTCGGTTTATGGCCTGGAAGAGTCTCCCAGCAGCTGCTTTTCGTGTAGCCAGCTCAGTCTTAATGCCTCCGTTTTGGTCTAGTACAACTCCAAGGTATTTGAAATGGTTAACCTGCTCCAATGCATACTGTCCCATCATGATCTGGTGTTTCTTCTCCTCTCTTGAGATCACCATGGTTTTAGTTTTGGAGATACTGATGGTCATCCCTTTCTTTTCAAGCTCTTCCTTCCAGACAAGTAAGTTGGACTGAAGGTGTGCCTCTGATTTAGCTATCAGGGCCACATCGTCTGCAAAAGCCAGCTCTGATATACAGATTGGTCTCATCTTCCAGTACCCTACAGAGTACTTCTTTGTCTTCTCCTTACAGGTCTTGATGACATCATCCATCATAAGAATGAAGAGGTAAGGTGAGAGAATATCACCTTGTCTAACACCGCTGGCGGTCTTGAATTCTTCTGACTTTTGGTCTGCTGTTCCTACATAATTTCTGCACCTTTTGTAGAAACTCTGTATTGCACTGATCAGGGGTGCTGGGATGTTTTTCCCTGCCAAGCAGTCCCAGAACTTGTTCCAGGGTACCTTGTCAAATGCCTTTTCCAGATCCACAAAACATAAGTGCATCTCACTCTTATATTCCGGGCTTTTTCACTCATCTGTCTCAGTGTGAAGATAAGGTCTTGAGTACTTCGGTTTGCTCTGAAGCCGCATTGGGCCTCGTCCAGCTGTGGCTCTACCAGACTTCTAAGTCTCTGCTCAAGAATTCTAGAGTTACCGGGAACGCTGAGGAGGGATATGCCTCTGTGGTTTTCACATTGTCTGTTATCACTTTTTTTAAATATAGGTATAATGATGGCAATCTCCCAATCTTTTGGTATAGTTTTGCTACACCAGGCTGCCTGGAGAACCTTCAGTAGAAGGCGCTCACCTTCGACTCCCATATATTTGACCATCTCTGGTGTTATACCATCATGACCTGCTGCTTTTCCCAGCTTAATCTTCTCAATAGCTGCCTTCAATTTGTCCATCCTGATGTTATCTTCCCCATGATTGAATTCCTTCTCAGCAGTGAGGTCCATTATTTCTGGGTCATGGCTTCCCTCAATGCCGAGGAGCTCTGAGAAGTATTCTTTCCATCTGCCCATGATATCATTTGTAGAAGTAAGCAGAGCCCCTTCCTTGTCTTTTATGAATTTAAGTGGGCACTCTTTCTCCTTCCTCATGTTCTAAAGGGTCTTGTAGAACAGTTTTTGGTTTTCTCTTGCATCGTAAAATGAACACGACCTTTAAAGTAATTGACGACGACTCGACCAAGGAGATACCATGATTAATAGTAAAATTATTGGGAAAACAATCCTGCAAGTTGACATCCAAGCAAGCCATTTGACCAGACAGACATCCAAGCAAGCCAGATGACAAGACAGACATCCAAGCAAGCTAGACTACCAGACAGACATCCAAGCTAGCCAGACGACCAGACAGACATCCAAGCAAGCCAGATGACCAGACAGACATCCAAGCAAGCCAGACAACCAGACAGACATCCAAACAAGCCAGATAACAAGACAGATATCCAAGCAAGCTAGATGACTAGACAGACATCCAAACAAGCCAGACGACAAGACAGACATCCATGCAAGCTAGACGACTAGACAGACATCCAAGCAAGCCAGATGACCAGACAGACATTCAATCAAGCCAGATAACTAGACAGACATCCAAGCAAGCCAGACGACCAGACAGACATCCAAATAAGCCAGATGACCAGACAGACATCCAAGCAAGCCAGACGATCAGACAGACATCCAAGAGAGACAGAGAGAGAGAGGAGAGAGAGAAAGAGGGAGAGAGTTAAGAAAGGGTTAAGAATTGGGCACACAAGATTGTCTTACATCAAAATCCTTCTCAGAGCGAGCGAGTGAGAGAGAGAGGGCGAGGGGAGGGAAAGGGAGAGAGAATTAATTCTTCTTGTTGTTTAAATAAATGGTCATTCACATTAGTAGTCCTTTTGTGGGGATAAAATCCATCATCTTCACATGAATGCTGGAGCCTGAGAACTGCTTCACATTCTCTTAAGGCTAAGGATCCAGTGCTGTTCCATCTATGTTGCAGCAAACACAGGAATTGACGTAATTGACGTGATAAGTGACATTTTCCGCAGATATGCGCATTTCACTTTAGATGGCTTCATTCAGTTCACACATGCACCCCCCCTCCTCCCCCACAATCTAAGTAAATTGTTGCCAGAGCTTTGTGCAAAACTCTGAGAGCAGATGGACCACAGACGATAAAACCATACGCAAGGAAGTAAGTCCTCTCAACTTCAAACTAACTTCCACGAGCATTTTCTGACACCCATCAACTTCATTGTACAGGATGTTATGTTATATGCTCTGTATCTTCTACAGAACAGTCAGTTGCCTGACAAGAGTATCATACGACTATATTTAATACTCCAGTAATGACCCCTAGAGATCTGGGTAAAAACTTATGAAATAATGATACAGCTGTGAAAACTCACAACCACCAGAGTGCGAGGCGAACAGCTTGATCACTCCATCATTGAAACCCCCATGAAACATTTCCTGCCATTTATCGCTGAAAGATATCACCTCACTAACAGAAACAACACAGAAAAACACTCACCTGTCCAACAAGGTCAACCAGCACTTCAAACTTGCCGTTGTCTGGGGTCATACCCTGGTAGCACATGTTGCGGGCCGCCCGAGCCGTGGAAATAAACACATCGCTGCTCTTGGTGAGGAATGCCACATATTTCATGTCGGGCCTCACCCAGCTGTTGGTCTGTGCAAACATGGTCTCTGGTCGCAGCGTGGCTGCCACAAGATACACAGGTCTGCCCTTCAGAGATCTGAGGAGAAAATGCAGTGTTTCTGAGCATACATGATTCTCTATGTGGGTTCGATGCCCTACGATGTGGGGGGAAAAAAATAGACCCACTGACTCGCTGTATACTTATAAGATGGTTTTCTTTAAATTTTCACCACACATGTCTACGGAGAATTATCAAAATTTTCTGGCCAGATACAATTTCAAACACTAAACTACTTCAAGTCACAAACCAAGAAACTTTAGACAGTGATAACCAAGAGAAGATGGAAATGGCTTGGCCACGTTATGAGAATGAATCCTGATTTACCCGCCAAAACAGCTCTCACATGGACACCAGAGGGAAAGAGAAAACAGGGGCGACCAAAAACAACATGGAGACGAATGATGGAAAGTGACCTGAGTGTGGCATCTTTGACATGGAAAACTGCACTGAAGATTGCACAGGACAGGAAAGCATGGAAAGTCCTCTCTGAAGCCTCATGTGTCACTAGGCATAACGAGAACTGATGATGATTCCTTTAAATTGGAGTGCACTCCTCTGAGAGGCCAGGAAAGACAAATCTGCATACAAATAAGCCAGATCTGTCAAACGAGTGAGAATGATGAAAAATAAGTTCTGGGACAATACTAATTTTCCGCCAGAGTTTACAGCCAGTGAAGGTGAGGAAGAAGAAGAAGAAATGTACACAATAAAATGATAAATCTGATGCAAATTCCGAGACATTTCCCCCCAGCTCTTAATGTTTGTCTGCAGACCCCCGAATCAATTAATCTTATAATGCATCTGCTCAGGGTTAGCAGGATTGATGTATTTATTGGCAGAAAGAAAATCTTGTTCTTCATCTTCTGCCTTTCAATTCTAAACTGAGTAAAAGTCCTCAACAATCTCGCATTAAGTCATCTCTAGATTTGTTCCTGTCCAAACCTTCAACGGTTTGTTTGCTCATGAAATCATTATTTATTTCCTATATTTGTGACACACAAACATTTAAACGTGTCTCCCTGGGAGGTTCTTATTATGTTTTCTGTCCCAAATACACACTGGTTGACTTTTTTTCATGTTTTCTCACCTGTGACATGGGATCTGGTCTATGCTCGATATTCAAGGGAAAGGCGAGACGAATATATGATCAGACTGTTACTGGTGAAATGGGTTGTTGGAACTCTGCGTGTGCTGCTGAAGATGGGGAATGTCCTGTGTGCTGTGATTCATAATTCAACACTTTGAAAACATAAACATTCACACTTATCCACAAACAGAACAGGCACTTACTGCAACTTGGGCGGGTATGGCTCCTTCACTTTCATCTTAATTAATGTGTACTCTTGTGGACCGACACCCTGCGGAACACAACATCACAAAATATACATTTGTAATGTTTAATTTTTCAAAAATCCTTAAATGTTTTGATGCAGTATAGTGGCTACCGCTCGCCTGCTGGCCTGGGTGTCTTAGGCTCAAATCCACCTTGAGAGACATTACCAAAAATGTCTCTTGGCTCCAAGGTTGACCCAACCTGAACTGGACACTAGAAAATGTATCATAAATTTCTTCTCAGGCAGAAGATTACATTAATTACAAAGGCTGAGTTAAATATCAGGGTCACTTCAACTACACGTTCAGTATAGCTATACATCAGTATAGCTATACATCTATTATCAAGATGAAGATGATATTAATGATGATAAGCAATATTAAAGTCCTGGTCTTTATGGAAGCAGCCAGGCCACAAATCTGGCAACTGGTGTAAACTGATGACCTACTTTACTTATTTACTCTTCAAGATGTCCCACTTCTCCCATCTCATTTTCATTAAACAATGGCAGAAGTTCTGGTTGTTCATACACTTCTGAACCTTGGTCTTGTTCCAAAACTTGAGTTCTATGTGCACATTCAATTTCCAGATCTGGTTTATCTATAAGAAACCTGTTGGTTCCTCATCTCTCAGTCTCAGGCACAGTGACTGAAGGAAACACGATTTATTAATATATACTTTACATTAGGTTTGATATCTTTCCCTAATTAATTGCCCCCAGGACATACTAGTTAAGGGGGCAGTAGATCTATTCCAACCCCCCTCCCCTCTTTTTTTTTGCCCCCCAAAAGTTCTGATTTTTCAACAACAGAAAGTGGCGCGGTGATTTATGTCACAGGCGTGAGGGAAAGTTAAGTCCAACGTGATGTGTATAAGGAGATACTCCGTACGTCACTCCGGCGCCAGTCCTTCACTGTTCTGGTTGTACGGAACCTCATGCAAGACCCCTGCAGCACGTCCTCGTCGTGCGCCACGGATAATGTCTCAAATAAGCATTAACAGAGCTGTCAGGGGATCTTGGAGTTTGGCGGCTTCCAGAGGTGATGTGTCCTTGTGGCTCTCATCAGCCCACCTCCAAACGCATGGGTAAAAAAGGTTATCAAAACTCATTAAGAACATGAGTAAAGTGCTTGCCGAATGTACAACTAAAATTACAACCCTTGGTTAAAATATTGGGGAGTGAAGAGAACATTGTTCTGCTGAGACTCAACCCTTGACCTAGAGATTTACCCACAGCACAGACGAGTAAAATCTCTTGTGGGTGGCGTCTTGCAGCAAGATTCTACCCATGTACATCCTCTGTTAACCCTCAGTGTCGTCGTCACTGCGCTAAGGTACACCAAGAGAGCAACCACCCATCGGCTGGCTAAGCCTAAATGTCACACGAGTAAGCTCAAAATCTGACCATCACAAATCGTATTGAACGGAAAAAGTCCAAATGTCCACACCAAAAGACCCCACTCGCCCGAGTGCTGGGACCAAACAGATAACGATATGCCTAAAGCAGGATGTTGAATTTTGTCGGGCTAACGGCTGGTCAAAGATACCTAACGTGCGAAGAAAAAGAATGTACCTATTTGGGTGGTCACAAAAGTCCAGAATTCGCGGGCTGCTTCCCGCTGACTTCCGGAGGGCGCAGCCCTTGTCGAGCGGGAGGCCTAATACGGTTGTGAGGTCAAGCAGGCATGTGCAGGACGTGACGATTCCTTGGGTGAGCCAAGAACCAGAGCGCCATGTGCCGGCTCTGCAAAAACGGAAGCCTCCTTGGATGGCGGGGAATGCCCATGATCTGCCTCTGCCTTCCCTTGATTGCCAACCGTTCCACAGGGGGCTGCCCCAAAGGGGTACTCCGGGGGCAATACCTGCGGAGAAGGAGACAAAGTGGACACCACACAAATCAGGCAACGTCTCGACCCACACAAAACAATGGCCACAGTCATCCTAGAAATAGGCCTGACGTCTTCCCTCGAAGCCGGAGTACAGCTGCCCATGAGGCAGGGAACAACAAAACGGTTTTACACGCAAAACTCAGGTCCAGGTAAAAGCCAAAAGTCCAAGCGGACGATTAACCGGGACCTTCTGCGGGAATTCACAGCCGGTGAACGAAGAAGAAGAAGAAGAAGAAAATAATAATAATTCATGTCTGGAAACATGATAATCCTAGGGTCTTGACCAGAGGTCAGTATCAGAAACATGATTTTTTGACGACCTATGAACATTCTAAACTTTACCTACTGTCTGGAAACATGATAATCCAAGGGTCTTGACCAGAGGTCAGTATCATGAACATTATTTTTTGATGACCTATGAACATTCAAACTTTATATACTGCATTCATCACTGGGTACACTAATGAAACTACAGGTATAGACTGACCTCTCCTGAACTTCTGTCATGATCCATACAAGGCTGGTTGTCCTTCGGTGAGAAAATGGTGTACCTGAGAGATATAAGACAGGTTTTTACAAGATTGTAAAGATACTTTACATCAGAACAGGAGATATAAAAGTTTTTCTCCTTCAATTTTTGATTGATTCATATCCTATCCTGACATTCAAAAGTTAATCAATGACAGTAGAAGTGTGCTGTACTTTCAAAAGTGTGTTGTACTTATAGAAGTGGGCTGTACTTATAGAAGTGGTCTGTACTTATAAAAGCGGTCTGCCGTTATAGAAGTGTTCTGTACCCATTCCTGCACAACCTATTATGGTCCTCTTAAGTCCTACAACTTATGTTTCTTTCTGCATGTCCCCAGAGGTCAAATAAATAAAGTCTTCAAATACAGACAGACAATGTCTCTGTGTAGTCTGACACAATCCTACCTTTTGCCAAACTTGACTTTGTTTCTCTCTTTAAATCGGAGAAAGTTCCATCTCACAAAGGAATCAAAGTACGGGTTGGCATCAGTAGTGATGAAACTTCTACGCCAATCAACCTAGAAAAAGTAAAAAAAGAAAAATAATAAAAGTTGTACTCACAATTTTGATGTTAACTATGATCATCAGCATTATATACACAAGAGGGCTTGAACTCAATCTTCTTCTTCTTAGCTCTCCAGGCTGTAGGCTCGGGCAGAAAGTTCTAGATTTTCTTCCAACAAGGGAATTTGGATTTGCTCCTAGACCTGTGTGTTGTATGCACTTACATTTTAATGATCTGGCTTATGTGTAATCAGACTGTTGGTTTCTCACCAGGCAGGCAGACCCACTCTGACTTTGAAAGAAACACCCATAATTAGCTGCCTTGCTTGTTGAGGAGGGGTGGGGGATAGGGATGAGTTTATTCTTTTGTGTGTGTGTATGTCTGTGTGCCCGGAACCCAGATGAGGAGCTTAATCAAAAAAGTTTCACTTTAAGTGCCTTAAATCTTTCAGTATCAGAAGGTTAATCTGCAGCTGTCCAAATTAATTAAACCAGGGTCAAATAATGAATGAGTGCATTACTTTCAAAAAGGCATATACTGTGTTGCATAGTAAAATATCTAGCCACGTTTCTGTGGTATATTCAGACCAGACATAAAACTTATAACAACACACTATGCAATGTTTTTTTTTTAGATGCACACCGAAAGTACCTAACCCCATATAGAGTGTTCTTAAGGATAGAAAGAGCTAATTTTTTATAAATGACCAACCACACACTTCCTATACAGGCAGCCCTTACTTTAGCTCCCATACAAGCAGCTCTTACTTTAGCTCCCACACAAACTGCTCTTGCTAAGCTCCCATACAAATCCTAAACAAATAGCTTTTACTTTAGCTCCCATACAAGCAACCCTTACTTTAGCTCCCATTCGCTTGAGGTCAGACATCCAGTGTGGTGGGAAGTAGCCCAGCCAGTACATGGGGTCAGCAAACTTCTTGATCTCGTCGTCAGTCAGTCCCATGGACGCCATGATCTGCCACTGGTACTTCAGGCCTCCAGTCTTGGCAGCAACCTTAGTCTACAACAAATTGAAGAAATAAATACCACTAAATGCAAAAGAAAATATATAAAAGGACTTCAAATGAAAGAATGGGAAGTATGGTGATGCATGACTGTCAGTCCCACTCTACTCACACACTTGCTCCAGTGTCAGGCAAGCTCCGGCCACGACCCTCCCTTTCACAGGGGTTGCATAAGACCATCGGAGAACACATATTCATTGAAGTTATGAAGGAAAATTATTGTTTGGGGGTCGCCACAACACGAGGGAACTGTATTAAAGGCACTGGGAAGTTGAGAGCCACTGTTCTAAAGGTTTCACTCATTCACTGATTTAAAACAATTAATAACAGAACCTGCTCCTCTTTGGTGCAGATCAAAAGTTGGGTGGCCATCTTTAAACGGTCACAGCATCAAGTTTCCATTGGCATCGTGATGTCCCATGCTTAACACTCTTGACAACCTTAACAACAATACTGATAGGTTACAAGACAATTCTTTATTATTTTCCTATCACATTTTAAGGCTTTCATTTGAAGCCTAATTATGTAAACTCTCATGCCATATGAAGTGTATAAAAACAAGAGTTTAATATGAAGGAAGGGTGGTCATTCTTGGCACTGACGTCATGTCAGCTGACAATGCTATGCCTTAAATTTGTGAGGAAAACATAGCCAGGCTAGGTCTAATCTAGAAGTAACTTGACACAAACTTTGGGAACATAATTAATGACAAACAAAAGGACAACCAACAGTATCCTCCTCTTCTTTTCCTTCAGGTTCGGTGGCTGTAAATTCCTGCAGAAATCTCTGGTTGTTTGCCTAATTCTGGACTTTGGTCCTGTTCCAGAACTTCAGAATTGCATACATATCCATTTTACAGACCTGACTTATTTGTCTGACCCAGGCCACAAATGCCTGTGTCAACTGAAAAGCACAAATATGGCAGCCATGTTGTAAATGGGCAGAAATCATTCACATCTTCGGATGAACAAAGAAGAAGATGATGTCGATGATACAAACAGAAAAGACTGACTGAAAACAGAAATGGTGACGCAGGCTAAACAGAAATGGTGACGCAGGCTAAACAGTAATGGTGACTAAAACTAAACAGAAATTGTGATGCAGACTAAACAGTAATGGTGACACAGCTAAACAGAAATGGTGACGCAGGCTAAACAGTAATGGTGACACAGGCTAAACAGAAATGGTGCTACAGGTTAAAAAGAAATGGTGACGCAGGCTAAACAGAAAGGGTGATGCAGGCTAAACAGAAATGGTGATGCAAGCTAAACAGTAATGGTGACACAGCTAAACAGTAATGGTGAGGCAAGCTAAACAGTAATGGTGACGCAGGCTAAACAGAAATGATGACGCAGGTTAAACAGAAATGGTGCACAGGGTAAATAGAAATGGTGACACAGCTAAACAGAAATGGTGACGCAGGCTAAACAGAAATGGTGACACAAATTAAACAGAAATAGTGACGCAGTCTAAACAGAAATTGGCTAAACAGAAATTGTAACGCACGCTAAACAAAAATTGTGACGCACGCTAAACAGAAATTACTTTCACTGCATACCTTTTTTGACTTGGACTTGTCTTTTCCAATCTCACTCTCCTTCGGCTGTGGTTCCACCTTGGCTTCTTCTTGAGGAAACTGTGGAGGGTACCCAAAGTCCTCCATCTCCCTCTGCAGCTTGTCTGCACACGCCTGGTTGGTGTGAGAATTTAACAAATCAGCAGTCACACTGTCAACTGACCACCTGGCATATAATATAAACAGCACTTCTACTGTGTCACGTTACTAATTAATAAATGTCAATAATAAATTTTGTCACAGTATGTACTGTTAATATAATGAGATAAATCAGATAGATCAGGAATATGAGTTAGCAACTTTTGGACACTGGTGCAACCCGATTTTCAGGACAAACAAATAGACCCACTGCTCCCTTAACAACAATGCTGTTATGTGACTGATTAGGGCTGTTTCCTTTGAAGTCGGAGTGCATCTACCTGAGGTGTGAGAAACCAAGAGAATGTATACAAATAAGCCAGACCTGTGAAAGGGATGTGCATTAAAAACTCAGGTCCTGGAATAGGACCAGAGACCAGAAATGGACAAACAACCAGAACTTTGCGTGGAAGTTTACAGTAGGTGAACGCTAAAAATAAGATAAGAGAATACACAACCACAGGGTCATGAAGCAAGCATGCTAGCCGCGGTGCTATCTTCGGGTCCTCATTTTAAATTTACAGTGTTTTTAATTGTATCCTTCTGGGCCAGCAATACATCTCCTAACACCAAGGAAAAACTGCATCCTTCCAAACCATCGATGCATATCCTCTTACCAAGGAAAAACTGCATCCTTCCAGGCCAGGTATGCATCTCCTCTCACCAAGGAAAAACTGCATCCTTCCAGACCATCAATGCATCTCCTCTCACCAAGGAAAAACTGCATCCTTCCAGGCCAACCATGCATCTCCTCTCAACAAGGAAAAACTGCATCCTCCAGGCCAGGTATGCATCTCCTCTCACCAAGGAAAAACTGCATCCTTCCAGGCCAACAATGCATCTCCTCTCATCAAGGAAAAACTGCATCCTTTCAGGCCAACAATGCATCTCCTCTCATCAAGGAAAAACTGCATCCTTCCAGGCCCACAATGCATCTCCTCTCACCAAGGAAAAACTGCATCATTCCAGGCCATCAATGCACCTCCTCTCATCAAGGAAAAACTGCATCCTTCCAGGCCATCAATGCACCTCCTCTCATCAAGGAAAAACTGCATCCTTCCGGGCCATCCATGCACCTCCTCTCACCAAGGAAAAACTGCATCTTTCCAGGCCAGCAATGCACCTCCTCTCACCAAGGAAAAACTGCATCCTTCCAGGCCAGGTATGCATCTCCTCTCACCAAGGAAAAACTGCATCCTTCCAGGCCATCAATGCATCTCCTCTCACCAAGGAAAAACTGCATCCTTCCGGGCCAGCAAATCATATCCTCTCACAAAGGAAAAACTGAATCCTTCCATGTTAGAACATGTTAGCATGTTAGAACTTTGTATGATGTGAGAAGGACAGTGGAAGTAGTGTCCGAACAATATAACTAGAAGGGTTTTAAACTAGAATCAACAAAGGCATCAAAATAAAGACTGGGGAAAAATCATGCAAAGAAGGAAAAAAGAGTGAATTAAACAGGAGGACGGGGTGAGCTACATGCGATAGCAAAGGAGAGGGCCTATGCTTCACAAGAAGATAAAGGGCATGAGAAGAAGTCAGAAGAAGAATTACAACCTACCTTGATAGGCATCCCTGTACAGTGCATGCCAAAAGGGAACAAACATCTTTTACCCAGCATGCGCTGGAAGCCAACTGCAAACTGCAATAGAAACAAAAATATTCTCTTTATTAAACTGTACTTTTATTATCCTTATTTCTCTCACTGGGTCCATATCTCTTCCACAACCTCTCAGACACACATATCAACCACATACTTATGTATACATTTTTTCTTCACATTCATCGGCTGTAAACTCCAGCGGAAAGTTCTGGTTGTTCATCCACTTCTGCACTTTAGTCTTATTCCAGAACCTGATGTATGTAGATCATCATCATCAACTCTGTCACTGTCAGAAATTTTCACAGCAGTTGCTCAAGGACAGAAATAACATGAGTACAAAACTTTCAAAGAGGCAGCTGGGAATTCCAGATTTCTTTAGTATTCTATGATCAAATACAAAAAGTAACAGAACATAGAGCGTAATGTTGGGATTCATAAGAATGAGTCGCTTATTTATCAACATATGATGCATTGCTCAGGACTGAAAGAGTTAAGCCCCTTGCCAGATTACATGGGTGATCATGTTAATCTCCGTCTTACAATATCCAAAGGCAAGTACACATTTCTGCCCCGACACATTTCTGCCCCGACACATTTCTGTCACGACACATTTCTGCCCCGACATATTTCTGCACCGACACATTTCTGCCCCGACACATTTCTGCCCCGACACATTTCTGCACCGACACATTTCTGCCCCGACACATTTCTGCCACGACACATTTCTGCACCGATACATTTCTGCCCCAACACATTTCTGCCATGACACATTTCTGCACTGACACATTTCTGCACCGACACATTTCTGCCCCGACACATTTCTGCCCCGACACATTTCTGCCCCGACACATTTCTGCACCGACACATTTCTGCACCAATACATTTCTGCCCCAACACATTTCTGCCCCGACACATTTCTGCCATGACACATTTCTGCCCCGACACATTTCTGTCACGACACATTTCTGCCCCGACACATTTCTGCCCCGACACATTTCTGCCCCGAGACATTTCTGCCCCGACACATTTCTACACAGACACATTTCTGCCCTGACACATTTCTGCATCGATACATTTCTGCCACGACACATTTCTGCCCCGAGACATTTCTGCCCCGACACATTTCTGCACAGACACATTTCTGCCCTGACACATTTCTGCACCGATACATTTCTGCACCCACAGATTACCATGCCATCAAAAATGACCATCAAGAATTGTGTCTCATTATCTTTCTCTACATCGTCAATAAATGTACAGCCGGTATGTGCACTCTAGAACTAGGCTCACCAAAGGAATCATCACATCCTGCATCATAACATGTGTAAGTGCAGGTTTGCACTATTTAGTCAGAACATACTGAAGGAATCTGGCAACAAATATGTTTACAAGGTGTGCATATCTGGCTCCTACAAAAGTAACACTCTAGTTGCTTTTGCTGTTATCATTATTTTTCCATTGGGCAGCTAATGAATAGAGGGCAATCAAGGGTTGATTAAGCGTTCTAGAAATCTCACCTCACATTTAGACAAACTGAATGTGTGACCCAGATGTGCTCGACCATTCATATAGGGGAACGGAAATGTCACCAAGTACTTCTCCTGTCTTTGGAAAAGGGAAAAAAATAATGCAATAAGTAACAGACATTTATGTTTACACATAAGATGTTTTTTGCTGACCTGGGCTGCAAGGCTAGCCCAGCATAAAACGTAGACTATGTTATCTGTGTCTTTCAGCCCAAAACATCTGACTAGCAAACTCCTAACCTTTTACAACATACTTGTGATAATTCCAGGATCCTCAAGCACTAGGTTTGCTGTATGTTACCAGAGCCCTCATAGACAACAAAGAATATAGTAACACTGCACCCTACCAGGCATGTCATAGGAGGCAACTGGGGTAGGTTTGGGCCTGGGGTTAGCTATCTCATCCAGCAACAAAAACAACAGCTACAAATACCAAACAACCAGGGAAAAGTTAAAATGAGAAACAAGAAATACCCAGTCAACCAAGAAAGGGGGGGGGGGGGGGGGGGGGGGGGGGGGGGGGGATCTTCTTATAGAAGAATGATAATACTGTAAAAAGGTGGGGGGGGGGGGCATATGGGGAGAGGTGCATTTGGCGTCAGTTGGCTGATGGCCAATGCTTCAATGGTGAAGAACAGTGCTAGGGTTTGATTTCTGCAGTGAACTGTTTTAAAACTGTTTTTGTGGTTTTCAGAAAACAGTATGAGAGTCACACAGAAAGAGAATGGAGCTTTAGGACATAATGTTCCCAAAGACAGCCCACCTTCTTTGTGGAGAAGGTGCACACATTTTAATTAATGCTTTTTGAGACCGGGGGGAGGGGGGGGGGGGCTTATTTCCCAACCCCCCCCCCCCCCCCCCCTCCCCAAAACGGATGGGGAACCTGAACCCATACAGGAAGAAGAACACATAACTAAGAAGACATATAAAACATTCTAAACTTCAGAAACGAAAGCTTCTCAGCATTGAGAATGAAGTTTGGTTGCTAGGTATTCTTGTTAGGGAACAGGCAGACAGACTGGCTGAATCTGCACCATCGGATGGTGAATTGATACATGGCAAGGCAGATGTAGTTAAGGCCCTTTGGGAACAAGCAACAGAATCAGTTGAAAAAGAAGAATATTATGGCCTGGAGAGAATGAGGCACCTGGGTGTAACCAGAGGCTCTGGCCAGCTCACTAAACTCAGAAGAAAGGCAAGATGGACATATAACCAGATTGTGATCGGTACCATCAGCACTGGAACTCTGCGCTGGCTGCTGAAAATAAGGACAGAGCATGCATGGGAATGCCCCAAGTTCTGTGATGTCAATTCTTGATTCAGCTCAACTCTTTTTAGGTTTACTGATTAATATTGTGGTTTAAATATTCACTTGTGTCCGCATATGTATTTCTTTCTGTCAAGCTTCCTGTTGCAATCCGACTTTAAAAGAAACACCACAAACTCTTTTTGGACATATTGCCACTTTAAGTGGCGTTTAGATGGATCGCCACTTAAGTGGCTCCTGACATAAACACTATAATATAGTTTTGTTTGCTAGGGGAAAAAAATTGTTTAAACTATTTTGAAAACTAGAATTAGTGCAACGTCCAAGTTTGTCCAAGTGTGTGTGGCCAAGATAATTAATTCTAAAATCTGTAGTCAAACACAAATGGTCATAAACTTCAAAGTACTTAGATTAACTGTCTTAAATAAAGACTAGCCTCAAGTAAAGACTAGCCTCAAATAAAGACTAGCCTCAAATAAAGACTAGCCTCAAATAAAGACTAGCCTCAAATAAAGACTAGCCTCAAATAAAGACTAGCCTCAAATAAAGACTAGCCTCAAATAAAGACTAGCCTCAAATAAAGACTAGCCTCAAATAAAGACTAGCCTCAAATAAAGACTAGCCTCAAATAAAGACTAGCCTCAAATAAAGACTAGCCTCAAATAAAGACTAGCCTCAAATAAAGACTAGCCTCAAATAAAGACTAGCCTCAAATAAAGAAAGACTAGCCTCAAATAAAGACTAGCCTCAAATAAAGACTAGCCTCAAATAAAGACTAGACTAGCCTCAAATAAAGACTAGCCTCAAATAAAGACTAGCCTCAATTGCAGCCTCAAATAAAGACTAGCCTCAAATAAAGACTAGCCTCAAATAAAGACTAGCCTCAAATAAAGACTAGCCTCAAATAAAGACTAGCCTCAAATAAAGACTAGCCTCAAATAAAGACTAGCCTCAAATAAAGACTAGCCTCAAATAAAGACTAGCCTCAAATAAAGACTAGCCTCAAATAACTCGACTAGCTCAAATAAAGACTAAAATAAAGACTAGCCTCAAATAAAGACTAGCCTCAAATAAAGACTAGCCTCAAATAAAGACTAGCCTCAAATAAAGACTAGCCTCAAATAAAGACTAGCCTCAAATAAAGACTAGCCTCAAATAAAGACTAGCTAATACACAAATGAATAGAGAAGGTATGTGAATTCTTAGAAATTGATTGCAGTGTTCTGTGTCACTGATGAAGAAAAAAAAATCTTCATGTGTGCCTAACATCCTTGAATGTGGTGTCATTTTAATACTTTGCTGTTGCGATACTGATCTTTAAATAGTTTAGATGTACTCTGTATTCAATTTGCTTTACTCATCATCATCATGTAGCAGGTCCTTTGCAGAACGTCGCTCTCATCACAGTCTGCCTGAAAGAAACTCGGTCTCTTGCCAGTTCTCCCACCTCATGCACTTTCACATTCAAGGAATGACTTATATCCTGTGCCCATCTTCGTGTCAGTCGGCCCCTGCCCCTCCTTCCTGGTACCCTGCCCTCTGCTATAATTGTTTCCAATCCGTCACAACACTTGATATGACCTTGCTTTAATCAGTATATTATATATATGTTACTATATAGCAATACCTTTTCTTCAGGAAAGTTTTAGCTAAAAAAAATTCAGTCCAAATCTCAGAAAAAAATGCCACCTCGAAAGAGCTAATTAGTCACTATGTACAATATATACTTGTTAGGAGGCAGTGAGTGTGAACAGAGATGACTGAAACATTTTATTAGTAGAAACTTTACAGAATATCTTACTTTTCCTCTTCTGACCCTGGAACTGGTGCGTCTGGTTCAAAAATTCGTTCCTGCTGCCATCTTGCCTGCATCGATTTCTCAATCTCTAGTAACTCATCAAGTTTAGCCGTGCTTTTTCTTTCGGAAACAACACTAACCTTCTCACCTTTCTCCATCTTGTCTCTAAAAATATATAAATGTTTACATAACGCTGGCTATATCAGATATGGCTGGGCGGTGGTGAAATACTAATAGTTTAACATTCAACATGTAATATGTTATGGCTTTGATAAACAGAAAAACAAGCCATAGTTCAAGGGTGAAAAACAATCAAATAAAAGGCTCTGAGAAGATTTGGAATCAAAAGTTGTTAAAGGGGGAAAATAGACAAGTGTAATAATAGTTATATGTAAGCCAGTGATAGACAGAGATATCAGTGGGAGGATGAGCTAACAGCGGTCTGAAGGAGTGAAAGAAGTTGACAGACAAGACAAGAGTAGAGGTGTAGATCACAATGGAGATAATTATTAGTAATATTACAGCCAAACTTTTTTTGCGGCGTTGGCACCCAATTGATTGATCTGATCACAGACTTTTCATTCACTGATGTCATTCACATTGCTTTCCACGTCCTTCTGTGTCACTTTCTAAATAAGTCTAAATTGTTTGTGCGATGACTCTAGCTGCTGGCTTTTTGTTTGCAAGTGCGTATTGTTTGGGAAAGAACAATTTTATGTGCAGTTTCAGTTTTCAGTTGTCACACTGACACTAAAGAATGTTGAGCTCTCCTTTAAATAACGGTCGCTAGCTAGAAGGCGACTGCCGCTTAGTCGGAGTTCACTCCCTTGGCTGCAGTGCAAATACGGAGCGGACAAGTCACGAATCAAACAACAAAGTAAGGTCGACATGCCTGCTATAGCTAGACCACGCGCTGCGACTGACAGTAGCGACCGCGGTCTCGCGACGCAAGACTCTCGTAGACCACGCGCTGCGACTCACATTAGCGACCGCGTTCTTCCGACCACGACTTAGTGACCGTAGATGTGAGACCTGCGGATTTGTATATCATAATGAGCGATAGGCTTCCGTCGTTTCCGTGATGTGTCACCCTAACCATACCCCAAATCCTAACCCAAACCCTAACTCTAGGATGACAGGTAACTATATCATTTGTTTCGTTCCCTCTTTACCACTCCGTATTTGCACTGCAGCCAAGGGAGTGAACTCCGACTTACGACTAAACTAAGCTACCGTCGCCTTCCAGCTAGCGACCGTTATTTAAAGGAGAGCCGAATGTTGATATATAAATGGATGCCGATACTTCCTGTTCATATTAGTTGTCTTATCTCGTTTAGGTTTCATGAAGTTTGTTAAGAGTAGTTTTGTAGGCATTGTAGCAGAAACAAACGTCTCAAACGATGTCAGTATTGACATTGTCAGCTGCTGTTCTCGCAAACAGAGCTTCCCTAACAGAAGAACGTACAGGAAATTGAATTAGTTATGGCTTGTTTATATTTCTCATCTTCAACTAATAAACCAGTCATATACAAACTTACTAGTAACCTCTTGGAAGTAAAAACAATTTCCGATACCACCCAAGAAAGATGATGATGCAAGGCTGGGGACATGCGCAGCCACAAATACAACTCGGTTGCCAACAGTAGGATTGCAATGTGTCGCAAAATATCCGTGTTACTTAAGTTACTTTTCGGCCGAAATTCCCACTTATATGGCAGTACTGGACGCGTGTTTTAGTTTTAGGGAATTATGGTCGCATGACTCATGTATCAACTCAGACCTTTGCAGTTTAGGATATATATATTCGCTCCCGCAGAAAAAAAACGTTTATTTCCTTCAGTAGGAATTCGAACCTGGGTCTCTCCCGCACGAGAGCCAGCGTTCTATCCTCCGGGCCAGCCGAGATTTCAACTGTAAGTAAATGGCCCTTTGTACGTGGTGTGGCGCATTCAGCAAACGATGTTAGACTCATTTGTATATACCAACATCACCTGGGTCTTCTTCCCTAGGACTTTACATAGTACCCTTTTAGATCGACCTGAGGTGTGGAGGTCAAGTCTGCCAAAATCTGACTAGTTTGATTAGAAGTCAGACTTTCATGGCAACATCCTATCGTCTAGCTACTACGCTACCTCTGTCTTCTATATTACCAATCATCTTTGATACAGATGTTTGTGTATGCTGTGCTGCCAAATCAACATCATCTCTTCCTCTATCTAATCTATCTATTTATCTATCTATCTATCTATCTATCTATCTATCTATCTATCTATCTATCTATCTATCTATCTATCTATCTATCTATCTATCTATCTATCTATCTATCTGTCTGTCTGTCTGTCTATCTATCTATCTATCTATGCATGGCATCTCTATGGTTGTCATCACACTCGGAAGGTACTGCATGGATCAAATTCCTGCGGCCGTAGACACAAAAGTAAGGGAACTGATTGATCAGCATTCAGACCCAGAATATATCATCATCTACACATATCCGTGAAGCGCGGATCAAGGTCAGCATGGGCATACACAGCGCAAAGAAGGGGAAAAACAATACAAGAGGACAGCGGCGCTTACCAGACAACCACGGCAAGCATGACAATGGAAATAACCGCTGCTTCTAGAGCTTTAGCATGGGTATCCATGCAAACCACCACACAGGCAATAATTGCCTCAGACTCAATGAATATGCTTCAGAAGATAGCAACAGGCGGTATGCGCTCTGAATGGACAGAGTGCAGTGACATCAATTGTGATAACAAAACATAAAATAACATCTTGTAGAGAGTCGGCAGTCCGAAACCCAAGTTCAAGGTGTCTCCTTCGGTCCATAGAACTGCATGGCTGTTGGGTGAACAGTCGTTAACGAAGGCAGGCAGGTCGTTGTAGGGGCGACGCCTGCTGGTGGAATGTAATGTCCTAAGTCCCTTCCCCAGCTAATAATGAGGGTACTGCTGGGGTGACCGTTTATTAACCCTCACATAATGCTTCAGGTCAAAATGGACGCTATGCACGGCCACCTTTTTTTTTTTGCCGTGGCAAATTTTTTTTTCTTTTCTGCCAGACGGTGGCCGTTGCATTTTTGCTCCATATGTAGACTGGAAGGATATAGTTTCGTCGCTCAGCTCCTGAGCTGAGTGCATGGCGTGACACTGTGAGCGACGTGTGTTTTTCGTTGGCACAGTAGCGGAGCGAACTATGGGGTGACCCGTTTGCTACTGAAACTAGGATTACCAGACCTATCTAAACTAGGATTACCACACCTATCTATCTGTGTCAGCGTATGTGTGTCTGCGTGTATGTATCTGTGTGTATATTTGTGTCTGCATGAGTATGTGTTTGTCCATGTGTGTCTGCGTTTGTGCCTGTATATGTCTCTGTGTGTTTATCTGCTGCGTGTGTATCTGCATGTGTTTATGTGTGTCTGTGTTATGTATCTGTGTGTGTGCCTATGTATGTATGTATATATGTGTATGTATCCATATGTGCGTGTATGTAATATGTATGTATGTATGCGGGTGTGTGTATGTATATGTGAGTTGGCGTGTGCCTGTGAGTGTGTGTGTGCGCACCCGCGAATGTCTGCATGCATGTTACCAATGATGCTTTTGGGTTTTTCCTTGATATTCATATTTTATGAAAATAACATGTTTTATTGATAAAATACAAATGTTGTGTGAAAAGATGGGTGTTTGGAAGTGCGAATGTTAGATGGGCCTGGATGCCCAATTTGTAACCCTTTGAAAATAAAGTTCGTTCATTATTCTGTTTTTAAGAGACTGGTACGTCAGGTTGTTCTCCAGATGCACCTTCCTTAGCTAATTTATAAGCTTTTCAATTTCTTTGTTAATTAATCAAACAGCATGTTTTCTTTCTTCTTCTTTTATCATACTGCAGCAGATAGGAGTTATATATATAAGTTTCCTGTCTTTAGCTATTTGTGTAGCTTGTGTTAATGTTATGTTGCGTTTAAGTTGTTGTATCTCTTTTATTCCTTCGACACATATCTTTCTAGGCCGGTCTCTTGCCTTGTATCCTGATGTTCAGGTAACTCTAGCTGCTGGCTAGTTTTTGTTCCTTTCTTACCAGATGACCAATTCTTTGATGTTCTATGAAATCATTCACCCGTACTGTGCCTACTATTGTTCTTAATTTATTAATGTTAAACCGTTTTTGCTGATAGTTAAATATCATGTTTAGCAGGTTGCAGCTCCCATATCAACCAAGCTGGACAGATTTATGGGCTCTCCTTCGAACTTTTACCCCATATTATGGCGGCCAAACAAATACCCTAACAAGGGCCTCAGTCGTGTGTAAAATGCGGGCTTCCTCCGACGAACACATCGCGGCAAAACTAGGATTACTTGACAATGTCACGACTGGCAACACTGCAGACGATAATAGCGACCATTGAAAATTTCGAGACACGCAACATTACAGACGATAATATGGAGATGGCGGGAAGACCTCGCGCTCCATCGCAGATTAGCGATAGTGTTCTTCCGATTAAACTCACAGTCGCGTGTATCCTCCGCGCCGCTACGCGTTGCGTGGATGGGAATCTAAACTAGATGCCTGGGACTCACAAGCAAATAACACTGGAGGAAGTCACGAGCAAAAAAATTGGGGAAAGTTGCAGGCGATGCGGTAGCTGCTGCTCGTGAGTCCTAGCCATCTAGTTTAGCCCCCCCCCCCCTTTCCCATCCGCGCGTAACGGCGCGGGAGATACTGTCGGTGGTTCGGCATAATCGCAGAAACCGGTCCGCAATTAACATAGAGCATTTATTTCGTTTTTCGGAGCCGATCCTAGTTTTGCCGCGATTTGTTCCTCGACAGGAACTCCGCATTTTGCATAGGACTGAGGCCCTGATATGGTATCTGTTCGACCACCATAATATGGGGTAGAAGTTCGAAGGAGAGCCGGTTTATGCAATCATGCCTGGCGATTTAATGGTAGTAACAGCAACAGTATTAGTAATAGTAGCAGCAGTGGTGTGTGACGTTTCCAAGTGATCTTTGCCACCTTGTGCAGTACAGATCTCTCCCCAAATTCTTTCTTAGTTTTCTGTCATAATTCTTCATCACAGCATCTTTCTATGGCTGGTATGTCAGTGGAGTTTCGGGGAATTAAGAGCCGTGTGTATAAGTTGCCAGTTAG